GCTCCCGCCCCTAGGCGGGCGTGCCCATGAGCGACCCGGAGGTGGCGGCGCTGCTGGCGGCTGCGGAGGCGACGCGGCGCCAGCTGCTGGCCGGCAGCGGGGCGGAGGGGGCCGGCTTGTAGCGCCAGCTCACGCAGCACTAGCACTCTCTTGCTTGCACCCCCTGGCTGGCGAATGGGGCCACGCTCCCGCCGCCTCTTGCCAGCCCGCGTGGTGGTGGTGTTACACTCCTGTGCCAAAACGGGCCTGTTGGACCCCGAAACACAGTGGATGACAGGGCAACACGTGAAGCAAATCGACGCCCCCCCCCCCCAAAAAAATGGAACAAAGCAGTGCCCCACATGAAACAACAAGCAAGCCTGTGTCGGCGTGGCTGTTGTGAAAGTGTCTGCCGGGTGGCACAGGGAACGGCGGTGACGTGAACAACCGCGTTAGCCACAAAATGACAAGCAAGGTGCATTTACACGGGAAAATAGCCAATTATCAAGTGTGCTGGGGTCGAGCGGACTGCATGTCTCAGTTTTTTGCGGCATCGCACCCCCCTGTGGTGAAATTCTGCACGCCCCCCCTTCTAGTTGCCCTGATCCCCCATCATCACGCGTAACAAACATAGCTCTCACAATGCATGGACTCCTGCAACCCGCTGCCAGGCGGGTATGCACCACGTCCGCCGTTCTGGGGAGTGAGGTACGGCAGGTGATCTGCAAAGTGCCCGCTGGTGCAACAAACAGCAGGGCCATTTCGCCAGGAAAACGCACTCTCTGATTGTTTATAGTTATAGTCATACGTGAGGTCGGTGCAAACACCGTTGAGAAGACACCATCAAGCCAGGAGAAACCTCGCGTTGCTGATGGCGTTGTGGTATGCATGGGAGCACGCCCACTGAGACAAAGACCGCCGTTGACCGCACCGTTAGGGACAAGCAGTGTTTCCATGCCATTATCTATGAGATCACGAGCTTGTTATCTGAATTCGTACGGTCTCAGGGCTGTTCGGTGATCCCACGCCAAGACTCACCCCCTGCTGAGACTCACCAGGTGTGGTGTGCTCGCCTTGAGATCACCTTGCGTCGTCAAACACGCAACCTCGCCCTGGCACCTTGCCATTTTATCTATATTTGCGTTTTGTTGATTGATCAACCGTTTGGCCTGTCATACATACACAAGGCCAGGGGCAGCCTGAAGCAGTGGGCCATCCAGCACCGCGCAGGCAGCGGGTCCCAGCCTGCGCCGTCATTGTGTTGCTGCCAGATATTATTGCTATCGGATGAACTCGGTGTTACGGGCCAGCGGCGTGCTGCGCGGTCTCCTGGCGCGGTCCCCGAGCACCTGGCACTTGGCCGTGACATCCCTCCCCGCTAGCTTCACGGCCTCAACATGGTCATTGAATGCTCCTGAAGGCGCTGCTGAGGGCTGCAGAGAGGCAGCGGCGGTGGCCTGCCCCGTCGGGGCGCGCCGCTGCTTTGCGTCGTGGGAGGGCGCATGGGCCTCGCCCCGGCAGCACATGTACAGCGATATCGCCACAGCACGCAGCATGCTGCCGCATCGGACCAACTTTGTGCCGCAGTTCCATGCGCACGGGTTCATGCTCATCCCGGAGACCCTGCTGTCGCCACTGACAGCACTCCAGCAGCAGCAGCTCCAGCTTGCCGGCGGCGCCGAGGATGCGGAAGACACCGACGCAGTTGCCTTACAGCAGCGGCGGCGGCGGCGGCAGGGCGGCAGCGCTGAGGGCCAGGCGGCGCTGTATGCCGACAGCGTGAAGCGCAAGCGGAAGCTGAAGATGAAGAAGCACAAGTACAAGAAGCGCATGAGGGCGCTGGCTGCCAGCAAGCAGGGCAAGTAGATGAGGAGCCTCTGAGATGTTTCTTTCGAAGCTGAGTTCGTTAAAGCGCTGTTGCCGCCATGCGCCGCTGTGTTTTAGAGCCGTGTTTGGGGTTTCGTCGCGTGGCCGCAGTTGCGCCGCGTGTCGCGATCTTCTGAGCGTACACGGTGCACGCCGTTGTGCAGTTGCCTGCGTGTGCTGCCGCCTGCTGCAGTCGCCGTGGGCTGCAGCCGCTGGCGGCAAATGGGAGTGCTTGCCTGCCCGCCTGCTGCGCCTGTGTCTGCAACTTTCCTGCACCGGGCGCTGTTCGGAGTGCCCCTAGTTTGCCCAGACCGTTTTTTTAGGCGCTGTTGATTCGGTAGGCTTTGGCTCTCTTGTAAACCTGTAAATACAAGCAAACCCGGCTTTGCAGCCAGGATGGCTTAACCTGGTTTGCAGCTGCAATTGGGAGGATGGACTCGTGGGTGAACAGGCATCGTGCTGGGTCAGCCAAGAGTTGGCGCTGCGTGCACCACCGAAACTCAGCTTGACGCCGCGCCGCCTGCCTGCGGAGCAGCACGTGCATCACCTGTTGAGCGCACCCGGCCTTGCCTGTGCTGTCGGCTTGCATGGCGGGGTGAGCGGCGGAGCCTTCGGCTGGGTGTCTGGAGACAGAGGGTGCGGGGATGCACTCTGAAGGCCGCCATCCCCACGCGGCAAGTCCGCGCCTGCGGTTGTGACTGCAACGCCGCGCACGTTCGCAGCTGTGGACAGTCATTGCAGGGCAAAGGGCTCGCCTGTAGCAGGCCGATGCATGCAGCCGGAGCGTCTGGCGAGCCGGGTAGCCTGCCAAAACGCACTCCCCAGCGCCCGCGCCCTGCGCTTCGCAGGCAATTGGCGGCGCGTGCAATCGGCGGCGCAGGCAATCGGGGGCAGCAAGAGCAATCCCCTTTTTGACCGCACGCATACGTATGGGTCGAGGCGATCCGGGCTGGCCAGCGCCGGCAGAGGGTGCACTCGGCAACTGGCTGTCTCCTGTTTTTGGCCGGAGCCGTTGCGTTCGTGCTGGCATGAACTCATCACGGGCACGTGGATGGGTTCTCAGATCAGGATTGGGGGTTCGGGGGGGGGGGGGAGCCAGCAATCACACAGGACAGCAGCCATTGCCAAGAGGGACACTTGCAGGTGCCGCGCCTCGTGTGGCCAATTTCCGCCGGTTACCCAGGCGAACGGCGGGACCTGCTTCTCCAGCACGAAGGCCGCCACGTGTGACTGTCGCCACGTGTGACTGTCACCATGCCGACATCTGGTGGTCTGGCGCCTGCCAGCTGAGGTCTTTGGCATGTGCTTGCAGCGGGCGGCGCCGGGCTGCTGCGAGGTGGCTGCCGCGATGCGCAAGGCGCTTGTGGGGCACATCACTGCGCTAATCATGACAGCGGGGGGCCGGCACGCGCCGCAGGACGGGACGCTGCACAAATGCACAGCACGCGTCTCAGAGCTCACATTGCCTGTTTCGCTGCAGTGCCTCCGGCCTTCACACCGCTGTCTGTGGTGGCTCTTGGTTGGCTTTCTGGCCTGTGTTGACCAGCCATAACCAGTGCTGTAGACCAAGCAGAGTTTTGCGACGCAGCCACCATCGTGGTGATTGCATCCGACTGCCGCCTGGAGCAGTACGCCGGGCGCAGGCAGAAATTGGGGGCAGTTTACAAATCCAGGCTTGTGTATTCAAGTGCTCGGGGCCAATAGGAAATGTACAGTGAACACAAAGAAAATATGGGATCATTTTGGCATGAACTGTGCTGAATATCTCAGCAGAATGTGAGGGGCAATGAGGGACATGGCAGCACAGTGCAACAAGTAGGATTGTGATGCAATGCATGACAGGTGCAAGTGCCTGCGGCACTGGCGGTGCCGAGCTCGAGCGTCTGGAGCAAGCGGAACGCCGTCAGGCTTGGGACGGGGCGCACCCAGGCTGCGTTGTGAATGCGCCATCCATCAACACGACATTGCGGTCACCGGGAGCAGCGGCGACTCAGGCTGTGGGTGCACCATGAGCAGTCTGGGATAAGGTCTCACCAAGTGCCAGCGCTCGGACAAGCAGAGCAGCGCGGCGCGCTGCAAGGGCCCGTCAAACAAGGTACATAGCCGGCCCAGATGTGACATCACGAGGCATCAACGAAACATTGCCGGTATCTTCTAGCTGTAGCACACCCCAGCAGCAGCTATATCAGACATGCATGCACACACACATGCACACACACATGCACACAAACATGCACACACACACACACTTACACACACACACACACACGCACAGACACACACACACACATGCAGCGCACACACGCACGCACGCACGCGCACACACGCACACGCGCGTGCACACACACACACACAGCAGGAGCAGCAGCACGAGCAATGGCTCCTGCTGGGCAACAGAGGCTGTAGCGAGTAGGTGCTTCCCAGCTACAGTAAGCTGGCACTGATCAGCAGCGAAGCCCGCTGCCCTAGCCCCCAACAACCGCAGGTTGTCAACACCAGAACGTCAGGCCCCAGACCGCCGAGCGGGCCCTACCGCTTCTCATCGCGCTTGTGCCTCGCCGTGTGGCAGGGCCACGGTTATGACTAGCTCTTTGCCACGTCTGACGGCCGCCGCTTGTTCGGGCCGCCTGCTGCATCAATCAGCAGCTTCTTGACGCAGTAGAGTGAATGGGATGGCAGTGAACTGGGTCGGCCGGCTTCGATGTCATCAATGTTGATGAAGGGGCCCTGGAAGCCCTGTGTTGAGATGTAATACCCCTGGTCGTTCAGGAACCTGTGGTTGTGTTTGGGTGTTTGGGTGGTGGAGTGGGCGGAGGTGTGGGATGTATTGCGTGTGTGTGTGTGTGTGTGTGTGTGAGTGTGTGTGTGCATGCGTTGCCTGATGTACGCCTTGAAAGCGAGATCAACACAGATAGGTAGATAAGGAGTGACAGAGAGGGGGGAGGCAGAAAGAGAGAGCATGAGGGAAAGTGTGTGCGTGCGGAGGAATGAGGTCCACATAGGCATTTGCGTGTGTGCACGCGCATGCGGGGGCGTGTTCGTCACAAGGCAGCGGCGTAGATGTTTGGCGCTGCAGGGCCAATGCCGTCATGAGAGCTGGCTTTTGACGGCAACAGGCTGGTCGCAGTTGGGATGCGGCACACGGCGATACCAGGAAGCCGGCGCAGCGCCTGGGTCGCCTGCGGGGCTCATCCCAAACGCTCAAACTCCAGCAGCCCTGCCAGGGATTGAGCACTGATTTGCCTGCGGCCCAGCAGCAGCCCCAATGCTCACTTGAGGTATTCTGCCTTTCCAGCTTCTTTAAGCTTGTTGTGGTTGCACGCTGCAAATTGCAACGGGAAAACATGTCAAAATGGTGGGTGTATGCTGGAGGCGTGGGCTTCCATATATAACCGCATGCGGAGGGTGTGAGGAGGCTGCGCAGCATCACCCACCTGCAGCGATGAACCAGACGTTGTGGTTGTCGAGCAGCTGTGCCGCGCCCTTGAGCACCTCCGCCTCAAAGCCCTCGACGTCGATCTTCATGAACTGCATGTGCGTTTGGGGTGGATGGCGCGTGTGATGAGGGTCATTGCGGGCTCGAAATGATGGGCAGGCATGGCGAGGGGGCCGGGCTCCATCTGACGGGGCACAGCGAAGGTGCGACAATACATGCCGCATCGGGGTGGGTGGGGGGGTCTTAAACCAACGGTGTGTTGGCACATGCACACCCTTGTGAGCCCGTGCATATGCTCAGATGTGAGCGTGCTCACACACGGTGCCGTGTTGGACATGCATGTGCATGCACACGCACCAAAACGGCATCTTCCCTCCCTCCCGACAGTCCCACCTGCACGTCCTCCTCAATGAGTGAGTCCAGCCGCCTCACTCTCATCTCACCCCGCACCTAGGGTTGGGCACGTGCGTGTGTGTGCGTGCGTGTGTGCGTATGTGTGCATGTGTGTGCGTGTGTGTGTATGTGTGTGTGTGTGTGTGTGTGTGTGTGTGTGTGTGTGAGTGTGCGAGTGAAGGAGGGAGGGAGGGAGGGACAGAGAGAGGGGGGGAAGGGAGCGTGCGCAGGCAGGCAGAAGCGCGCACAATTCAACCATGCGCACAACCGGTGCATGCACTCTCGTGGGAACTCGTGTGCTGTGGAAGTGTGCATGCAATCAGCCGGTGCATGTGTGTATGCGCAATTCAACGTGCAGCTGCGTGCATGCGTGTAGCGCACTTGCGCGCAAATCGTGCCTGCAGTTTTGAGAGTGCGTGCACGCGTGCGTGCGTGCGTGCGTGGATATGAGAGAGAAACCGACGACAGTGTTTGTCCATGCGCAATGCTCACCACGTAGTCACGCCCAAACTCAGACTTCCATTGCTTGATGACGTCTTTTGTGTCCTGAACGACAGCCATGCAAGGCGCGACCACCCGTCACCATGAGGGTGTCAACGTGATCACAGTCAAACAGGCGGCAAGGCACAAGACGCCGGGGGGTGGGGCGCTTGGGCAGCCGCTAAGGTCCTAAACTGGCGATGACGAGAGGTGGTCAATAGAGACATGAGGGGGCCGCTGTTGCCCGTGCTTGGCAATCACCTTGTCACATATGGTGTGACCGTCTCCCATGTTGCTGACATCACTGATGATGGAGCAGGTGGCACGCCTTTTTTGCAGGAGGGAAGCGGTTGTACAGCAGGTGGGTACGTGCACAGGGGGGGGTCCCAAAGGCAGGAGCGCGTGTGGAACCTCACCATCAGAGATGGCCGGCCTGCATGCGCCACAGGGGCTGGCGGGCATGGCATGATCTCGTTCGACCAAATTTTCCTGCAGCGCTGCGCATCGTGGACTCATGTGCTCACTGGGTGCCCAGCCCTGTGTTGTACAGCGCGACGCGGTCCATGAGCCCGGGGTTGGCGCAGAGGGACGTCCGCACCAGCTGGATATTGCTGGCCATGGCTGCGGGGACGAGGACGGGCACGACATGTTGGCATCAGCGGGTGCACTCAATGAAACAGAGAAGTTTGGCAGGCGCAGCGGCAGCAGCTGGCACCCATGCAAGGCCGGCAGTGCTAGGGCTGGACAGCCGCGAGTGGATCCTGGACCGGCAGGCCAGGGGGGGCGAGGCTGATGCGCAGACGTCGCCGTGGCGAGGCGGCAGTGCAGCAAGCGCCACCCAGCCACTCGCCGCGGAAGGCGCCACGGCGGCTGCCGCCGCGCCGCAGTGCCTGGTGCAGTGTGTAGCATGTGCCATGCGGCGCCCCGCACCTTCAAAGGCGGCGACCCTGGCGCCCGCCTCGGCCGCTTTCAGCGTGAACCATCCTATGTTGGCGCCGACGTCCACCACAAGGGGGGCCTCCTTTTTGACCCATCTGGCGGGGTGCTTCGAATCACGGGGGCTGGCAGGGACGGGGGAGCGCAGGGCCACCATCATCTCCTTGGTTTCCTGCAAAGCGCGGCGCGTGACGCGTGGACACCCGGGTCAACGTGCCGTGCGGCAAGGTCCCCTGTGCGAGCGGCAGGGAGGTCGCTGTGCCGCGCAGCGCGCCCACCAGTTTCACAGCTGTTTTGGGGGTGCGGCACGCAACCCAGGGGCAGCCAGGGCCCGCAGCTGCGCAAGGGGGTCGCCGCCGGGCAGCATGCTTCCTGGCAGGCGCGTGTGATCCGAGCCTATTGCGGCGCGCGCGCCTCACACTGGCCCCGGCCGGGCCCAGCCGGTCCCCGCGCTGCCATTGGCCGTGGCAGGCGGGGGCATGGTGCCTCACTTGCGACTCCCATTGGTGTGTGTCCCCCTTGATATGGTCCGACACGATGTCGTTGCTGGCGTAGACCACCATAGTCAGTTTTGCCACCTTTATGCGCTTGGTACCAGGGGGGTCTGGCTGCTTCGCGCTGCGATACATCAGCGCGGAGCGCCGTGGTGCAGAGAGGGTTGGCGAGACGCGCGGCCGGGGCACGGCGCCGCCGTGTTTGGAGCGCACGGCGGCGGCACAGGAGCGTGATCAAAGATGCTTTCTATAATCAAGCGTCCCCACTGGATTATGGCAGGGTACACTGGCAAGCTCATGCGCACCGGCAGTACAGGTCTTGATGGCCCTGCACCAGCTCGCGCTTTTCAGCGCTGCTGCGTACACGGCCGCCGGCCGCATCCAGCAACGCCGCGGTCGAGACAACGCTGAAGTTGGTCAGTGGCAGTAATATATCTGCCAATGACGCGTGGCCGCTGCTGCTGCCGCTCTGCCCCGGTCTGCTGCTGTTGACGCGAAGGTTGCCGTGCAGCATCGCTGCGCGGCCGCCGCTGCTGTTGCAGTTGTGCTGCTGCTTCCACAGCATCAATACCATTATCACCACGATTGTGAAGAGGGCCGTGGGCCACGGGTCTGCGCGCATGCAGTGGGAGTTTAGGCACCGTCACACCCATCGGCAAGCTCCATCCGACGCATGCCAATTTTGCGGGAGCGTGGCCACGTGCAGGAATATATTTACCGCACCTCTCCACGCATGTGTGAGCTTGCTGGTATACATGACACCGCTGCCATGATGGTTGTTTTCTGCAGCTTGCTTGTGCCTGCTGATTATGTTGGGCCGCCACATACTGGCCTATGCACCGTCAGGAAATCCGCATTTGTGGAACCACTGGTGCTGAACTGCCCCTGTGCTTGACACACTCTGTGTGTTTGGTGTGCACGGCGGCGTCACCCGCTACTGTGCTACCGTACATGCGCGCTGGTCTTGGCTTGCATGATCAGAGGTGCACAGACATACCAAATCAAATAATCATCAGATCCGGTTTTATAGAGTAGCACAGGGGGTCTGCGGACTCAGCACGGAGAGCAGCAATGGAGAAGCTGGGGCTGGACGTGGGCTGAGTGTTGAACACAGCGGTGCGGCATGCGCGTCAGCCGCAGAGAACGACTGCGCATTACCGTAACCCAGCGGATTTAAGGCATTGAAGGCCTGGATGAGGAAATGACAGAGAAGTATACCTCCCCTACCTTGAAGTCTTAGTTGGCCGTCACTGTCTTACAGGGAGGGCGCGAAGTGGCAAGTGTGCGGGAAGCAGCAGCGTGCTCAAAGCGAGTCACAAACCATTCAACAATATGAGGGCTGTCCTGTACCCCCACTGGCATGCGTCGGCCAAGTCGCGGTGCCGCTGCCGTTGCTCGGCGGCGCAGCATCGGACAGACTCGCAATTGCCCTGCCGTCAAGGGCGGGACCCCAAGCGCTGGTCGGCGTCGCACTTCAGCCCGTAGCTGTCGTGCAGCTCACAGGTCACCTCAGCTCTATGGCACCCGTCTGACCGTGCTGAACCGAGGCCAAAATACTAGATGCTGGTGATGAGAGGCAAGGCCTCGAGTCGCTCTCCAGGCTGCTGCCCTTCTGCAGCGGCGATGCCATCGCAGCCAGGTGAGGTCAAGAGATTGCAGCCACCTGCGGTCCCCGCCAACAAGCGAAGCTGGGTGGGTGGTGGACAGATGGAAACGGTATGGGTGCAGCAGCGCAGCCGAGCACGCGCAGCAGCCGCCGCAAACAATGGCAGGTCCGACCGGTATGATACCTTATGTTCAGGGCGGCAAAAGAAGCAATTCAACTCTATTGATATTCGAACTCAACACCACCACAGGCGTCACCGATCCCGGACGGCACTGTGTGTGCGCACGGGGGCCCCCCACGGGGTTATTGAAGCCACCGCCTCCCGCTCCTGGGGTCCCTCACATCAGTGCAGAGCATCTTCTAGCGTTGTCTGTGCAGGGGGACGTACAGGCACAGGTGCCCCGTGCTCGCATCGGCAGCAGGCCTGTGTGAGATACTGGGGCCCCCCATGAGCCTCGCGAGCTCCACTATAATTATGGAAGACGCATGGAGGGCGCCAGGGTTTGGCGCCTTCGCCGGACCCGCGGACTTTGGGCCATCCACGGGGGCCCACCTGCTTGTTGCGTCCCCGGGATCGATTCCCGGATCCATCGAACAGCATGTCCTTCTTGGCTCGCACGACACCGCGGGCATGCTGTCCGGCAGCCTGGCCGTGGGCTCGTACGGCGCTGCGCTGCCGGGTTCCTTCGGGGGCACGGGCGGGGCGCTGGGCGGAAGTGTCGGCGCGTCGTGGGTGCCCTCATCAGATTACTCCGGACGCCGCGACACCCTTGGCGTCGGTTCCCACTTCGACCTGAGCAGCCTGGGCGGCAGTGTGCACGGCGGCAGCGCGCACGGCGGCAGCGCGCATGGCGGCAGCACGCATGGCTGTGCGGCTGCGGTGATTTTACATGGCCGCAGCCTTGGCACATTCCCCAGCACCGTGGAGGCACTCCAAGCGTCCCTGGACTCTTCGGCTGGCCACCACGCCGCCTCCGTCGAGGAGCTGCTCAGGTGCGCGCGGCTGCGCGGCAGCTGATGCCATTGGTATGAGAATGATGCTATTGTGGCGTCATGGTCAAACACCCCAACCTCCCTGGCCGGGCTGATGGGGGCCACGCGCCCCCAGTCGGGATCATTCGCAGCCGCACAGCCGGCCGCGCAGCGCAGCTGCTCAGCATGCAATCGTGCTTGCATTGCATGCCGCCGATGGAGCTCACGGTCAGGGGCCGCCCCTGGCCACCAGCAGGGTGCGCGATTACGCGCGGCCCCGCAGTGCGGCCGGCCAGCCCAAAGCGCGACGGCGGCGAATTGCCCCGCCCTCCGCCTGCCAGCAGCGGGGCACCGGGCCAGCAAGCCGTGGGTCGTCGGTCCAGGCGCCGCAGCGCAGCCCGCGCGTGGGCGTGCCGGGTTGTGCGCCGAACCACAGCCGCGCGCGCGCGGCGCACGCGCCGCGCGCGCCGCGGTCGCGAGCTTTCCTTCAGCGCGTGGCCCGCTCGCCGATCGACGGGCCTTGGTCGCTGCGGTTGTTCCTCCGCAGCTCAACCCCATGCCAATTGCATACCGCGTGGATCCGCGCCACCATGGCTGACCACGCGCCTTCCTCCTGGCCCCCCAACCGCCGCCCCCTCCTTCCCCGCAGCTTCATATCCGCAGCGGCCCCCGGCCAGCCCGTCACGGCCGTGGTGGCGCCGTCGCTGCAGCAGCTGGACAGCAGTGCCCTGGCGGCGCTGCTGAAGGAGCTCGGGCGCCAAGGTGGGGGGAGGGGGGGCCGCGCGGCGGGCGGCAGTGGGCTGCGGTCGGAAGTCCCTGCGCGCGTACCGGCGGCCGTACTGGCCCTGGGCTGCGGGCCCTGGGGGCGCGAGTTGAGGGGCTGCGGCGGCTCTGCCTGTGCTGGGAGGGCCTCTCCGCCTCACCTTTGCGGGGAGAGGGCCTGCTCACTGGGGCTCCCTGGTGTCCACCCCTGCTGCCCCCTCCATGCACCCACCCCATCGCCGGCCGGCCGCCGCCGCGCCCCCAGGCCTGGCCACGCGCGCCGTGGAGGTGTTTGACTACCTGCGCACCGAGGGCGGCCCCGGGGCGGCCCACCTGCTGGACATCTACACCTACACCACCGCCATCAGCGTGTGCAGCAGCAGCCAGCAGCTGGAGCGCGCGCTGGAGCTGGCGGCGGAGATGCGGTCGCGGGGCATCAGCTGCAACGTGCACACCTACAGCGCGCTCATGAACGTGTGCATAAAGTCGAACGAGGTGCAGCTGGCGCAGGAGGTGTACAAACAGGTG